ATGCTAAAAAGAACTTCGTGTGACACACAACACTATTATTATATGAGTGGTCCCGCTACTGTGCCGACGAACGAACTGATCAGTGACATATAATATGTCGTTCACTCCATAAGATTACGTTTTTGGCGACCATAAGCAGCGTGATGCTCTATCCTTTGCATTCTGATGAAACATCCTTTGCCATACCGACACTTGGTGTGATATTGTCTGTGTCGCTCTTTGGTGAAAATCCTTCTGCGACATGTATACCTGGTGCGATGTTGTGTGTATCATTGATTGGTAAATCTCGGTTTTGCGAAGAACGGATCTGCCAATTTTTTTATGTCCGAAATCAGTGATTTTTTTGTTTTTTGCCTTTGGCTTTGACGCTCCATTCGCGACTTTGTTTTTCATGTGATGTTGGGTTTTGTCGGCTTGTTCTTCAAGCTTTTCATTGGAAATATCTTATGGAATTGCATATCTATTCAATAGTAGCAAATAAGTGTTTTTTTCGGAAAACATTCCGGATTGCTTTGTCCTGTGATTTACTTATATGTGTTATTTCTTTGGATTTTTTCCTCGTCGCCTGACTGATTTATTTTATAATCGCGGGTATCTTGTGTATCTTCCTCGCCGTGATGTGCATACTGTGTTTTTGATGGTTGGTGTCTTCGGGTTTGGAGTTGAACTCATATCTAAGTGTTGGTTAGGATGGTTTTGTTTGATGACACTGTTAGTTTCTCTGACTGATTTGGGTTTCGTTTTCGATAGTAGTGCAAGTCTGGTTATGTGTCGATAGTTTTGCTACTGAATCGTGTACATTTGTACTTTGACTGTTTTATGTAGAGGTTTTCATATCTAAAATGGAGGAGGAGGAGACTGATGAAATTATTTTAAGAAAAATGTTTTAAAATTCGAAGAAAAAAAAAGTTTAATTTCTGTTTTTATTTTCCTTTTACTCTGTTCAAGCAATAGAAAGAACGCGTTTAGTTTAGCAAATGTTTCTTTTTGAACTTTCATACGTTAGATAGTCCTAGTTGTCTTTTTCTTCTTTATGTACTAGGGCGGGGTTCATTGATAGCTTTTTGTAACACATTGGTAGGCTTGCGTTTTAGCATCGACGGTAGTGGTTTCTTGTGCACAAACATGTCTTCTAAAGTGCGATTAGTTTTGACGGCAAATTCCAGTTGAACGTGGTCCACATTAGATCCTTTATATGCAAAATGCTTTTTCCACCATGTGCGGAAATCACGTTGAAAAGCTAACCTTGGCCCACTTTCGAAGTTATATTTGGCATACATGACATTGGAATCCCAAGGTGTCTTTCTTTGTAATACTTCAGGTAAAACATCAATGTCTCCTGTTGCTTGTTGCAGTTGCTGTTCTCTTCTTGTGGGCTTATGAAGTAATTGTTGGTGTAATTGGCGGTATACTTGCGAGTCAAGTCTTTCAAATACTGACATAGCCTGATTGATTTCGAAGAATCGATGAAAATGTTTGGATATAAATGAAGGTGGATATTCATTTAGTAAAAATGATAAATCAATATGAATACGTTCCATATCAAAATCTTCTACATTTTAGCAGATTCGTGCAGCTCTTAATAAAAGCAGCATATGGAATATTACGAAAAACATGTCGAGGATGATCCGAAGTATAAGGTAGTACATAAGGTTCAGCAGCTGATTTATGAAAGATAGATGTTTTCAAGTGATCACCTTCGTTGCTAACGGTAACATCGACAAAATCGATAGTCGATTGAATAGAATAAGAAATACGAATATTGGGATCTTTTCTATGAGCATTTTCTAATTTTGCTTTGAGTTGATCATGTGTTAAGTTTGTTGTCATAAATACATCATCAATATATCTAAAGAGAATAAGGAAAATATTATAAGTAGTATTGAATAAGACTCAAACATTTTGAACAAACCTTCCATAAATTTTCTGATCTACTTGTTGGTCATGTATTAGTTGTTGTTCCCAATCCAGCATATAAATATTAGCTAATGTTTGGGTAAAGGCAGATCCCATTGCTCCACCACGTATTTGTCGATAATGTGTTTTTTCGTAGACAAAAATATTCGTATCCAATACGAGACGAGCCATTCTCATAATATCATCAATACGTAATGTACCGATTTTATTATTACGTAAATTTCGCTCTAGAAATTGTAATAATACTTCTAAAGCACCTTGTCATGGTATCATTGTATAAAGATTTTCAACATCAAAAGTAATAAACAAAGTGGTTGGTTTTAAATGGTCATTGGCAGCATATTTTTCTAATGCTCGAACAAGATCAATACCATTAATAAATGTAGTTTGTCGAGCAACACGTAGAAATATAGGTGCTAATAAATCATTAAGAAACTTGGATATTTCTGTTGATGGTGCATGAATAGCCGCTGCAATTGGTCGTAATGGTGTATCGGGCTATGAAAATGAAAGATAAATAGATGAATTCAAAGAATTACATATTATATATATATATATCTTTCTAATGGCAATAAATACAAATAAACTTACTTTATGTGGTTTCGGAATAAAATGAAGATGAGCCAATTCTAATGAATCTATTTTTGGAGACATTTTCTTATGTTGCTCATGATTAATGGCACGGTTTTTCAAGAGAGAAGCTAGAAGCATAGTAACTAATCGAAGATTTTCCGATAAAATACAACGTTCGTTGGAAATTCCTTGTTAAGCTTCGGTTTCGATCATATATTTCGAAGCTTTGTCAGCGAAAATAGTCACATTACCTGCATAAAATACTTTGCTCTTGTCAGTTCGACGAACAGTAATATCAGGTCGATGACGTAAAATTTTTCTTATACTTCGTATTACTTTTTGTTCACGTCGAGCACGAATGTTTAGTTGATGTGGTAATTTTTGTGTACTCAAAAAGTGAGTACACTCTAGGATCGGTCAGTATGTCCGTCCGTTTACACGATAACTTTTGAAAGGAGAGTCAGATTACGATGAAATTTTCTACACAGTTTAGTCTTAACAATGTCTCGGTCGAGTTCGAAGATGAGCATGATCGGCCGAGCCATTCGTGAGTTATTGCAAAAATAGTCATTTTTCCCTATAGCTTCCTATGCGAAAACCGATCCATCTTGGCTTTCGTAAACAACTTTTCCTATCATAGTTAAATAAAACCCCAACTATTATATACCTTTCGATAGAGAATTTCACCAGCTACAAAATGGTATATAAAACATAAAGTAACAAGAAGGCTAACTAACCTATTACAAAGATAATTAAAGGGAAATGGGTTCCGTTTTTGTCCACGATCTAATTGACTCACAATTCGAGCTCTATCTTCCGATCATAGAGTTGATACTTTGAGGTTTTCTGGGGCGGAGAACTCGAATCCGTACTCCACTTGCCTCGAAATATTATTGGTTGAGCAGTGACCAATAGAAATCAAGTTATAGGAAAAACCGACTTTCTTAGGGTTAATCAAGGCGAAGAGTTCAAATTTGAGCTCTATTCGCCTCCAAGCCCTATTGATGGACCAATAGCCGACAGAAATAAACAGTTTATAGGAAAGGTTTCCCAGTATAATTTTGATATCCACACATTCTAGGATGACTCATCTGTCTAATTCACTTTTTAAAGTACACATAACTCTCGGATTTAAATCCGAAGTTTTCGCATTTATTTAGAGAATATATCGCCAAGCAGCATGCTGATCTCCCAAATCAAGAATTTCCTGCTCAGACATGTTTTCATAACCCCATCGTCGTCTGTTCTCTTCACTGCCTATATCAACTGTATCGGGGCACTGCACTTCTGTCCCATTTGACATTGACTCTGCATCCATAAGCACAAATGATGATTGTGTGGGCCCATACAAACGATCACGGCGTCGATTTTCTGCTCGGAGACCAAATAGTAGGATCACAACACTGACTAAACTGAGTACACAGAAACTCAGATTGATGGCATGACCCAGAATAAAGCGAGGTGCATCTTGTGTGTGATAGAGTTGCCCGCTAATCACTCCGCCGATGTGGCCCACCGAGATTATGAACGCCAACGCAGTAGCTCGTTTCGCATGGGGACTGATATTTCCTGATATAAAAGCGATAGAAGTAGCTATGCATGGAGAGAAACCGCCAGTTGCAAGAATCACAGCAAGATACTTGACAACCAAGTTCTCAAGTGTTATCAAAATAATATAGCCAACTATGCTGACGGAGAGCCAGAAAATGATGAACATACTACGATGAGCATATTTGTCAGACACATACGCCGTGATCATCGTAGTCAGAAAAGCGAATACATAGGGCGGCGCACTGAGCAGTTGAGCCTGATAGGTGACGAAACCAAGGTTCTGAATGATGGTTGGCGAGAAAAAGGACAGTGAATAGAAAGGAATAACCATGCCGATATAGCACAAGGACCAAGCATAGACTTTCCATGTTGATACTGCGGCCCAGACTTGTTTCCAGCTGAAATGTTCGTTAGCTCCAGCTCCGGCATCAGTTTGTAGTCGAGCCATGACACGTTTGTATTCAGATTCGGTCAGAAATTTTGGCCGATCAGAAGGAAAATCGTTAATAAAGAAGAAGGACAGCGCTCCAACAACCACTGTGGCGATGCCTTCTAGGTAAAATATCCAACGCCAACCTTCTTGTCCACCTACACCGGCCATCTTAGTGATACCATAGGCAAGTACACCACCGAAGGCGCCAGCAAGAGCAGCAGCCGAGAAAAATATACTTATACGCCACGAGAGCTCGCGTCTCTTGTACCAACTCGAGAGATAGTAACTAACACCTAGATAGAACGAATCACTTACAAATAGGTCCTAACTGTTTCCTCTTCATAATACCTGGAAAGAGACCCGCTTCAGCAGCACCCAAAAACAGACGACATACAAGAAGACCTTCAAAAGAATTTACCAAACCCATCAACGTCATCACGATGCCCCATGCTACCATAATCATTGGTATCCATCGACTAGGTCGGAGTCGTTTGAGTATTAGATTCGAGGGAATCTCGAAAAGGACGTAGAGGATGAAGAACACACTCAGACATGCATTGTATTGAGTACTGCTCAGCTTCAGCGACACTGTTAAACCACCCAGTTTTGCTTGACCAATATTCACTCGATCAAGGAAACTCAATAGATAGAGCAATGTCATAGTTGGAATCAGGTGCCAATCCAATTTGCGTAGGAGCTTTTTGTCTCCTGGATCATCTTCCTTGTCATTGACGATAACAACATTCACTTCGTTCATGGCAGACTTTGTCATTACAGTGGTCGATAGACTTTTCTTGTCACTAACACCGAAATCGCTCGTCGTATCTATAGAATATGACTGTTATCAGCAGTGATACACTCGACACTAAAAAGTTTGCGTACTTGTGCATGAAAACAGAAATATTAAGAGAAAAGTATATGACATCACCCAAAAGTGCAACTCTGACCACGACAATTTTCATCAAGGTGTTATCAAGCCATTCTATCTCGCTCTCTTTGGTGACTAATAACAACATGTGCTTGAAGGTGAGTGGTTTTTGCTTTTGTCGAGTCATTGGTATGATAAGCAGCTAAAACAATATTCCATACAATGACCGATACAAAGAAAAAGCGACACAATCTGCACGCATTCCTATGATCGTAAACAAAGATAAATATGTTAGGTAGGATTGAATTATGAAAACTGCTTGATTGCATCCAGATCACTACATCGAAATACATCTACGGTTTCCTATGATCATTAAAGAATATGTCACTGAAATCTGATATTCTTTGCGGGTCCGGGTAGTGATAGAAATCATTGCAAGAGAGTTGAATAGAGTTTTTCTTTCGATTTTATTAGATGGTGTGTCAATTCAAGTATTCATTGTATTTTAATCGACAGAAAGACTAATTTTGTTAACAGTATCCTGTGACACAGAAATGGGATCAGTTCACATTTTTTAAAATCTAAACTCAACCGAACTAAACCGAACCGAAAAGTAAACTTTGTTAACCAAACCAAAGCGAAGTGAGCCGAACCGAAAAAATAATTTTTTCAGAACTCTGCAAGGGATAACTAAAACTAAATAATCGTTTGATGAATTCCTTTATTTTATTACAGACGCCTTTCATCTATTATAAATAAGTATATATGTCGCAGGAGAAATTAAAATTCAGGAAAATTTTAAATTTTCCTAGGAAAGGGTGTGGGTGTGGGGTGTGGCTGTGTGTCGGTGTCTATCTTGAGGGTGTGGGTGTGGGGTGTGGCTGTGTGTCGGTGTCTATCTTGAGGGTGTGGGTGTGGATGTGGGTATGGAGTGTTAGCCCTCTCATTACCCACACCCACACCCACACCCTAGCTTAAGACATGTAGAACAGAACAGGATTATACAAACATGATGTTGCGGAAGGATGGCTCAAACACGACACTTATACTCTAGAGTCGAACACGTTTGCCATTCCGCGTTCCCTCCCAAGATAAAACGAACTTTATTGATTGTTTTACATGCTTAATCTAATCTCCACCCATAACAGTCTTTTTTTTCTCTCTTCATAATAGTTACACTAATTGTGTTTATGATGGTAGGCCACTTCTATGCGGTATAATTCTTTTATTCTTTTCTTTTGTAGAAGAAGACCAAAGCAGGCGACAACGCCCATGTGCGCCATGCTTGCCATGATGAGTCTTCCTATGATCAAGTAAAAGTCAAGTGACCACTTTTATTGTTGTAATTCACATTATACCTGACAACTGATAGAACTTAGAGGAAACAGAACAGAGCGAAAAAAAATGTATTGAATCCTCACAAACAGAATCAATCATACAATGAATCGTATTTCTTTCATGAAAATATTCGTCTGTTTTCATCGTATCTCATATCCACGTGACACTTTTATCTCTTTTTGTATTTCAGTTGTCTTTCAAAAGAATCTCTATTTCTTATCTGTCTCTCTCGATTTATGTGTAAGAACAACGCGACAGAAAGTTTTTCTTTCGTTCAACCGTTTATCTCACACTTGATCATTTGGCAAGATGATATTTCATCACTAGTTACTTGTAAATGCTGTAGGAACAGATGATTTGTGGAGAGCAACAATGGCGGTTAATGCAGCCTCATATGTATACATTTTATCTGAAAGAAAAAGGAACTTGACGTGTATCATCGAGGTAACAAATACTATTCCTCATTTCTTTTGTCTTTGATAGATATGTTCACTCTATTCGAACACTTCTCGAATGAATTATTACTGGAAATACTCGAATATATCGACATTCGAGATTTATGTAAAGGATTTCGAGGACTCAATAAACGTTTTGATGCTCTTCTTCGATCATTGCATAATTTATCTGTGATCATTGAAAACAACAAGCTTTCAGCTATCGTCCCATTCGCTCATCAAATCGTTCGATTAACTGTTGATACTAAAGTTGATATTGATTGGAGCTACTTTCCCAATCTACGCTCGTTGGTATTGAAACAAACCACTTGGTCTCAATCAAATCATCTTGCTCGAGAACCAATGCCCAATTTGATCTTTCTCTCACTTTCATCAGTGTCAACAGCTGAGTGTTCCAGTTATCTTGCTTATCAAGTATTCTCCAATTGGTTTCCTTCCCTTCGCCATGCTAATTTAGGTTCAATCCAATATCCATATGGTCATTCGTGGTTTCAGTCATCGAATCTGCGTTCTGTATGTGTCACCTGTACCGATCCAATTCTTCTTCTCTTAATTCCTGCTTCATGCCCTAGTCTTACCCGATTCGAAGTGGAAATCTACTCAAACATTTGTAAGATTGATCTTCCTTGTTCTTCAGATCATCAAATTCACCATCCTTCTCTCAAACGAGTGGGTCTCTCAGACAATGCAGGCTATCTATCATTGAACAGTCTTGATTTTGTTTTTCGCTGTTGGCCAAATATTGAACGAATCGATCTTGTACTGTACGATGTGTCGTATGTTCGTCTAGCTCACTTAATCGTAAATCGATTATCTCGTCTACGTCGATTTCATTGTCAGGCGGGCGAATCATGGGAGAATAGCAGTCAAAACGTTGATATTGACATGATTAGACAAATGCATCCATGTTTCAGTCGAATTCAATATATAACAAGAAGAAATGGTACTAGGATATACAAAACAGACTGGATTCATCACAAACAGCCATAAATTATCAAAAACATGCGCTACATCTATAACAGGAAACCAATGTGTCCTCCTGTCGACTCTCTTCCTTTGAAGAAATGTGACTAGTCTCACAATTGAAAGTAAGGTCATCATAGGCAAATCAAAAGTTTTCGATTTTTATTTAATAGAGTTTTTGTGAAATGACCATCCAACTTTAGCATGGTCGATCGAAGAAAAGGCTTTTTTTGTCTAATATATAACATTTGAAAGTCCACGAAAGAGAGCCAAAAGTACATCTCCTGAACGCTGAACTCAACGAAGATATCATTGTTAATACTTTTAGCCTTGATGTCCCGATGACAAAACTGCAATAATTTAATCTTCGGGTGTGGGTGTGGGTGTCGGTGTAGGTGTGGGTGTGGGTGTGGGTGTGGGTGTGGGTGTGGGTGTGGGTGTGGGGTGTGGGTGGATGTGGGTGGTGTGGGCGTGTGGGTGGGTGTGAGGGTGAGTACGGGTACGGGTAAAGAGAACAGTAACACACAAACCCACACCCACACCCATCCTCATACTCACGCTCACATACACATTCTAGTATTGCGGCAAGAGTATATAGATTTTTCCATTCATTTCAACCGGCTTTAATGATATGTTTGAGATGTAAAAATTAGCTTTCTAAGAGACAGCCCCACACTAAAGATGAAAGCGATCGTTCAAAACTTAAGAGACATGATCATCATGCACATAGTAAATGTATTGTGTTCTTAGACGCTACTAATAATTTTCTGCTTACATTAATAGCCGTTCTTCTTGGTTTCTATGATCACGAGTTTCACGTACATGTTCATTTTCTGAAGAGTAGATCGCTTCAAAGATTCTCAATGCTTTGTTGAAATAGTCACAGGCTTTCGTGTGTACACCCATTTGAGAGAAAATATTTCCGATCCGACTCAAACAGATACCGACATCTGGATGTTCATCACTATATATTTGACGTTGTAATTCAAGTTGACGCTCTCGACTTCTAAGACTATTGGTGTAATCGTTGCAGCAGAATAAAACGTCACTAAGCTTTGCTAGACAGTCAATTATGATTTTCTTGTCAACAGGGTACAGAGATTCGGCTAGCAACAAAGCTTTTTTGCATGTTTTCAGAGCATATGTAGCCGATCCAGTTTCTGCTTGTAAGTTGCCAATAGCTAGCTGGGTTCGAATCACCAGAGGGTGAGTCTTTCCGAATATCTCTTTTTGCGATTTCATTTTCTCTCTACAGAATTTCAAAGCCAGCTCGCTTTTATCCATCTTCATATAGATGCGAACAATCCACTGAAGATGTTCGGAGAGTTCTAGACAGTTGGGCAGTAAACATTCCTCTTCCACCATCAACTGGCGACGATAATAGTCCATAGCTTGATCTAGATCACCCTTCTTTTCATAGATGCTTCCGATATAGCCCATGCAGATTGCTTTTCGAGGATCGGTTGGATCGGGTACCAAACGTTTGCACATACTCAATGCTTGATTGATCTGATTGAGTGCTGTGTCATAATCACCTTTTTTGAGGTGCACCGTTCCAATACATCGCATTGCAGTTGCTTTGCATACATAATCGCGAGGAAAATTTTTTTCATAGATGGCGAGAGCCTGACGACAGTAGCGAAGACCTTGGTCATACTGGCCTTTTTCTATACAAACCATACCAATAGTTATCAAAGAAGAAGCGACACGGTGATGACTGGGATGATGTTGATTTTGACGAATCTTAAAGGCTTGCTCATGGTTTGCTAATGCCAAATTCAATTCTTTTTTCTTCAAATAGGCACTTCCTATATTGCTGTAGACGCCTGATATATCCGG